AGGAGGGAGGGGGAAAATGAGGAGCTGGTACCAAGGGCTCAAGTAGAAAGCAAATGTTTTGAGAATGATGATGGCAACAAATGTACAAACATGCTTGACATAATGGATGGATGGATGGATTGTGATAAGAGTTGTATAAGCCCCCAATAAAATGATTTAATAAAATGAGTTATAAAAGTTTGTATTTCACCTAAGGTAACAAAGCAGACTAGTTCTGGACTCCAGAGAGGGCAGAGAAGGACCGGAGTGTCTGTTCCTCTTTGTTGGTTTCACAAGTCCTCCACATGATCCCACTGTGGTTTGCTTCCCAATGTAGGGATTCCATTAAACAAAAACCCAGACCAAGCCAGTTCTCATGGCGTTGATTCTGCGTCTCACAGAGTTCTACCTGACCCCAGGCCTGTCAGGGTAGAACTGTATTCCTTACACTTTTTATTATTATCTTAACTTTTTACTGTGAGTTAGGTGGGGGGTTACTTATCAGACCACCAGTTTGCATTCGACAACTCTAACAACGTCTCCACCCTACCAATAGCTTGCGTGGCTCTTTCCCTCCCATCTCCCTTTTGTTGGATCAGGAGCATCATGGGTTACATGTTGGGCTGCTGACGGCAAGGTCAGCAGCTGGAGACCACCAGCGGCTCCACAGGAGAAAGATGAGGCTTTCTACTCCCATAAAGAGTGACAGTCTAGGAAACCCACCGTGGCAGTTCCACCCTGACTTCTGTGGTCGGCAGAGTTTGGTTGAGTTCTTTTGTTCAGCATTATTTTCCCCTTCATCAAGTTGACACCTGTCTACTCTAGGATGCCCCCATCCCTCCATAGGGTTTTTTTGGTGGCTAATTTTTAGAAGCAGATTACCAGGTATTTCTTCTAAGGTGCCTCTTGGTAGCCTGAAACCACCATTCTTTCAGCTGGCAGCAGGTGCATTAACCGTTTGACCCACTCAGGGACTCGTGGTGATTTCATTTCACCACCACTCGACTGCCATTGAGTGAATCTCTACTCCCAGTGACTGTGGGATGGCAGAGGGTTCCAAGACTGTCATGTTTATGAGAGCAGTCTTTCTCCTGAGGAGCAGCTGGTGAGTTCAAACCACTGACCTTTTGGTTGGTGCTGTTGCACCACCAGGGATCCTCAGTGATTTAATTACTATTGTCTCTCTCTTTTATTTTCTTCTGGAAAATTCGGTACAGTCAGACTCTGGCTCAGTCTTTTACGACCTCGGCATTTCTTACCTGCATCTCCAGCATTGTGACGCTATCTGCATTCTGCGTTCTTTCAAGGAGACAACTAACCATGCTAATGGCACCCCAATTCTTCTAGAGACCCCAAGTATGGATTTCTTATTTGGGAACCTCTCCTTTGCAGATTGGTAAAATTTCTTGGTAGGCCTTACCTTCAAAATGCCAAGGGCCGGTGCGAATTTAAGCAACTCCTCTATCACATCATTATACCCTTTGTTGGCTGCTTTCAGTAACGCTGTTGTGCCATCCTGAACAGAGAGAAGATCAAAGTTCCTCATTAACACGTGTGCGTGTAGGCCTTGAGCCACATGGGCTGAGAACAGGGAGCATGTGTGCCAAAAATCAGGCACAGAGTATAAACTTAAGCCCTGATCTGCAATCCCTCCTAGTCTAGAAGCATTTTAGAGTATAGTATGCAGCTGATGCTGCATGAAATAACACCGGGCACACACACGGCTAATTCCCATCTCTTAGAAGTCTGACATTGGGGAATTCATATGCCTCCAGAACCTCAGAGGACTGGATAATGGACAAGGAGAATTTTATTCATTTATTTATTTATATTAACGCAAACAAGTTCATTAAAAGACAGAGTGATTTTCGAATCAGGGGCACACCGAGAGTAACCTGGCCGTTACAAAGGCTCCCGGGGAAGGGAATGTCAACAGTAGATTTTTAGGGCATGGATGGACCCCAAAAGCACCTTGGTGGTATAGCGGTTACACGATGGGCTGTGTGATCTGCATGGCTGACAATTCGACACCACCAGCAGCTGCTTGGGAGAAAGACTGGGCTTTCTACTCCTGTAGACAGTCACAATCTCGGAAACCCACAGGGGCTCATTAAAGGCAATGCCTCTAGTTTTAATGGGCCAAAGGGGCATTCTCAGGGAAAAGCGGCTGTTGAACAACTTTTAATCACTTAAAGGAATGCCGGACTGCATTTACTCTTTAACGATCTCAAACGTGCCTCTCCTTTTTGCCTTCCTTCGCATGCAGCCTTGCACTCGCTGTCTCTGTTTCCCTCAGTGTCTGCTGAGGAGGAGGGACTGAAATCTGTTTTAAAGTACGCAAAGACAAAGGACAACATTAACAGTCAGCTCTGCCATCCGATTTTGTCTGGAGAAGAGACTTCCCAGACTTCTTTCCCCCAAGTTTTTAGCTCACAGAGTTCTCCTACAGACAGGGATATTTTCAGTCCATTGGTCAGAGGGAGAATTTAGCTGGAATCAGGATGAAGACAGAGTGTGGGAGCGAGAACAGCGAGGAGGTCAGGAGTGTAATTGCTGATTTCTCTTTGTGGGGCGTAGACTTAGAGAAAGGGAAGGGGTGTCAGGTGAAGTGAGGGAACAGGGTAAAACAAAAACCAAACAGCAGGCGTGGACCCAGCTGAAGGGCTTCCCCAAACTGCCCTCAACTCCCATGGGTGCTGGGTTTGCTGAGGCAGAATTCAGCCCTGGACACCACCAGACTAAGGGAATGGAGGGAGGCAAGACCTACAGGGGTTTGCAAATGGTAGTGCTGGTGGTGGGGGACTGGGAGCACAACAGGGAGCACTCCCTGGCCCCCAAATAACAGGCCCTGCACTGCCCCCACTGCATTTTCAACCCTAAGCCCACACATTGAACCCCATGCTGCTAAGAAACTCACGTTCCGGGCAGCGTCACGCTCGGCACCCCGCAGCAGCATCACCCTCACCACCTCGCTGTGGCCCATCTGTGATGCAATCCACAGAGGTGCTGTCCCATCCTGCAGAGAGAAGCCGGGAAGGCCATGGTGACACAGATGTGTGGACCCACCTCTCCTCTGGGGCTCCTTCACACCAAGTTCCAGAAACTGGAAACCTGAGCAAAGGGCTCCTGGCCAACAAATCACACACTTTCTGGGTAATTCAGAACCTGAGTGGTATTGATGCAGGAAAAGAGTGTTGTTCACTGTGTCAGTCTGGGTAGACTAGAGAGACAAGTTCATAGACACTCATGTGTATTGAAAGGAGCTTTATAAAAAGAGTAATTGTACATTAAGAACATCTCAGCCCAGTCCAGATAAAATCCATAAGTCCAATATTAGTCCATATGTCCAATACCAGTCTGTAAATTCCTCTTCAGACTCACGCAACACATGCAATGATGCCGAGTGCAGGAAGACCACAGGCCAGTGGGTGGAAAGTCTTGTGGATCCAGTCGGGGTGGAAGCAACTTAGCACTGGTGTGGGTCTCCATGTGGCTCCTCCAGCTCCAAAGTTCTGGTTGCCATCAGCATAGCTCCATGTGGCTTGGCCACAGGAATGTCTCGCAGGGAGATGAAGCAAAGAGAGTGTATCTGGCCTCCAGCGAGCTATTTATCTCCTTACCATCTCCAAATGAGGTCATCAAGCTACAACCTGATTGACAGGCCATACTCCACCCCTCTACTCTTAGGTCTCAGATTGACAACAGATTATGTAACTGCTACATGCTGATCTAGAACCATGGTTACTGACAAGTGGATTCTCATATGTATCAGAGTAGAAGTGCCCTCTAGGGGGTTCTGATGGTTGATTTTCAGATGACTGCCAGGCCTTTCTTCTGAGATACCTCTGGGGGGCCCCAACCCCCTAACCTTCCTCTAAGCAGCCAAGCATGTACTCTGCATGTACCATGTAGGGACTGCCACTGCTCTACATAGATTAGTGCTAGGCAGTGCTGGGGTCACTTGGGCAATTGTCACTCTTCAGCCTCTAGCTTTTATAAAAACACTCATTTTGTGGTAAGATCCTTCATCTATGGAGCACTTTACAGGGCTGGTGCTCCAGGGAGCCCCTAGTTTATTTAGCTGGTGCATCATTTTAATGTTCAGACAATACACCAGTTTTGGGGAGCCTTTGTTGAGTGTGAGCCCGTTGGGGAGAGAGTCTGATGGCCAGCGACTAAAGACACAGCTCCTCTTGTGTTGTGATGTCTCCAATCCTCCACAGCCACACCACTGCTCAGGGACTGGACATTAACTTTATGTGGACTATCATACTGTGTCATCTGGGACGTGATGACACTAGCCAGTGTTAACAGGATGGCATGCGGGGTTATATTTCTCCTGTATTATTCCCCCATAACCCGTTGTCTGTTAACACTGGGCCATAAAGCGAGACATGTTGAGAAGAAAAGGTAGAACATTCAAAGGCCAGAGGAGTCGTGGAGCGCAGGGTGGTTCCTGTCTGACAGTTGGAAAATGGAATCCCTTCCAGTGCTCAAAGGGGAGCTCGAGAGACTGAGGGCAGAGGTGGGAGAGACTGTCCATGCCCTCCTCCTTCTCTGGGACGATTCCGGGAGCAGGACAATAAGCCCGGAGTGCAGTGACAGCAAGCTTTCCCAGGAGATACGCCAGGGACATTATGTGGGACTCCAGATGGGAAAGGATCGTCTCAACTTTTGGAGATGAAGCCCAGAAAAATTGCAAGTGTCCTGGGAGAAGCTCAATTCTTGGCTGGTTCCTAAGAGGGAGGAGAGAAATCCCATGGGAACTGTTTGGGCCAGTGGACCTGTGACCGAGCCCAAGTCCCCACATCACTGGGCCTCTGAGCATCCAAGTGTGGAAAATCACAGGTGCTGCGGCAAGTAGCAGCTTAGACTAAGCTTAAAAGAAGGAGTTGGGAAGAGAAGGTCACAGAGGACTGTGACCTCAGGCCCAGAGACGAAGGCAGGGCTGGCAGACGACTCGGACCAGCGGGGAACCAGTGGAGAATGTCTGGAGACTAGAGGGTCAGTGTAAGGACCAGACGTGTATCTCTCCACCCCAGCTCAATGCCAAGGGCAAGCGTCAGAGAGCTCACGTCACTTTAGAGAGAAAGGCAAGAGCAGGGAGAAGAATCCAGAGTGGCAAAACTTACCCTGTGAGGTCACCAAGTTGATAAGTTCAAGAGACTGGTTTGCCAGATAAGGTGGAATTACCCATCAGTGGGAATGGAGGCCGGAGGGCACGATGGCTGTTACAGAATACAGAGTTACATTTCTGATACAGGGGGTCATTTCAACTCCCTCTACTAACCACGGCAAGTGCAAGGGCTATGATCCTCTGCGGTCCCTGTACAGGGCAGAGGAGGGCGACCTTTGAGTTAATCAGAAGCCCAGGACAGCCCCTGGGCCCTGAGGGTCAGCCAGAGGGCATCAAGGACATCAGCACCTCAGTGTCTGCGAGAGGCATTTGGAAACAAAGGATTGTTGTTCTTTTTGTTAGGTGCTGTGAGATGACGGTTGTTGTTAAGTGCTGCTGAGTTGGGACCAACTCATTAGCGCCTAACAGACATCAGAACAAGACACTGCCCAGTCCTGCGCCACCCTCACGCTCCTTCTTGTGGTTGAGCTCCTTGCGGCAGGAGCCACTGTGTCAGTTCATCCTTGGAGGTCTTCCTGGTTTTTGCTGCCTCTCTGCTTTACCAAACATGATGTCCTTCACCAGGGACTTGTCTCTCCTGATTACATGTCCAGAGTACAAGAGATGCACTTCTTCTAAGGAGCATGCTGGCAGTACTTCCTCCAAGATAGATTTGTGGCTTTTTCTAGTACCTTTTTCCATAGTACCTCGAATATTCTCCATCAATAGTATAATTCATATGCATCAGTTCTTCATCCATGGTCCAGCTCTCATGGGCAGAGGGTGTGAGAGACAACAAAGGAAGAGGAAGGCCAAAGACAACCTTCATCCCCTTCACGATGTTTCCAAGCACCTCTTAGACCTTGAATGTAAATATCATGGATCATTAACAACGATAAATTCTACCTTTTAGCTTACAATGCACGCTCACATTCTTGATTTCATTTGAGTCTCCCAATTCAGGAGTCAATCATTTATTCATCCATTCAACCACCCCATGGTTATTGAGCAGCTTCTAAGTTTCAGGTTGAAGGCTTAACAGAATGGTCTCTGTTCTCAAAGGAACTCAGTCTAGTGGATAGAAGACATGGGGTCATGTAGGATGTGATGCTATGCTAAGAATGGCGACAAAAATGCACAAGGGGAACCAGGAACTGTAAAGGGGTTGTGGAGTCAGCTCACCAGGTTGGGTAGTCTTGTAGGATAACCCTGATTCTGCCAGGTGCATTCTTGGTAGAAGGATGAGCACTGACCGGGGACTTGGGCCAGGCCGTGTGGGGAATTCTGGTGGCTGCAGTATAAGGGTGAACCTGGAAGCAAGAGTGGGAGGCTGGACTCTAGCAAGTCCTGAAGTCTCCAGAAATGACCGGGTCTCATAGCTTTTCTGCTTCAGGTTCATTTGTTTTGTGTCAATGTGTCCACCAGAGGGCAGGTGGGGAAAGGCAGTCCATGGGCATGCTGGGCAGCCAGCTTCCTCCTTTTGCTGCTAGTCAAGGCCTGGTGGTTTCTAGTAAGATTGTATGAAATGAGAGAGTGGTGGAAAGATGTTATTTGGGGAATAATAATTGATGTTATTCATCCACAGCAACCGTATGAGGGGACTTCAAAAACCTTCTAAGACCTCGGACTACTGATAGAGTATATATCATCTGCATTGGATAGTCATGGTGGGTGGAAAAACCCATCATTATGTTCTGGCTGGTGACCTTAAGCAAGGCACCCTGAGCCCCAGTGTCCTTTTCTGCAAAAATAGTGCCCTCACACAGATATGGGATGAGAAAACATGTAGGAAGGTGCAGAGCACAAGCCCTGGCTCACGGCAGATGCCCAGAAAATGCTAGAAGCCCATGGTGAAAGTAATGGGCTGCTAATCCAAGTCTACCAAGAAATGCTTCAGAAGAAAGGCCTGGTGATTCACATCTCAAAAATTAGCTCAGTTCTAGTCTGTCCAGACACCATGAGTCAGATCAAATCAAGGGTAGCTGGTGGTAATGGTAGATGATTTTAGTTGAGTATAAACACTATGTATGCTGAAAACAATAACTAACTCCTTAATTTGTACTTTCAGTTTACAAAGTACTTCCATGTACTTGATTTGCTTTGATTCTCCCAATTACCTGATGAGATAATTGACTTGTGAGCAGGTAGGAACTATTGAGTAAAATGAAATTTTGGGGTCACCTGTTTCAAATTTGGTTTTGAACCCAGGGAGTGAAAAAAAAGTAGGTTCGACTATTACTATCAAATCAAGCTTTTTTTCCATTTTTTCCCCAAGCATCTCAATTTCAGTTTTATTTTGGCCTTCTATTATGCAAAGGCATTCTACTGTATGGATCATAACAAACTATGGATGGCCTTAAGAAGAATGGGAATTCCAGAATTCTTTATTGTGCTCGTGCGGTTTAAAATCAAGAAATGTGTGCGTTAGGGTTGTGTCCTTATTCAATCTGTATGCTGAGCAAATACTCAGAGAAGCTGGATTATATGAAGAAGAATGTAGTATCAAGATTGAAGGAAGGCTTATTAACAACCTGTAACAGCAGATGCATGACACAACCTTGCTTGCTGAAAGTGAGGAAAGCTTGAAGCACTTGTTGATAAAGATCAAAGGTTGCGGAATGAATTACAACTCAATGTAAAGAAAACCAAAATCCTCATAACTGGACCAATAGGTATCACATCATGATAAATGGCGAAGCAACTGAAGTTGGGAAAGATTCTGTCTTGCTTGGATCCACAATCAGCGTTCATGGAAACAGCAGTCAGGAGATCAAATGACACATTAGATTGGATAAATCTGGTGTTCAAGACCTCTTTAAAGGGTTGAAAAGCAAGGATGTCACTTTCAAAGTTAAGGTATGCCAAATCCAAGCCATGTATTCTCAATCGCTTCATACGCA